GGAGTTTCGTCAACATGCGTGCTTCAATAGATCAGGGATCCCAAGCTTCTCTCATCAGTGAACATGCAGCTCAGTTGCTCGACCAACCTCGACTTCGATATAGGGGAGTGATATCTGGAGTAGGTACTAAGGAGAACAATTGTAAGGGCGTCATGAATATCAAATACAAAGCTATAAATAACGATTTTGAGTTTGAACCGGAAGTATACATAATGAAAAGCCTTATCAAAAATTTACCTAACCTTATCTTTTCAAAACCGTCCTGGACCGATTTCGGCCACAGCGACCTCTTCAACTCCGATCCTGTCGTTGGTGTGCTTGTGCGTGGCTAACGTAGCCGATCTTATTTACATATGTTCGCGCGCAATGCGGGCAGGTGAGCACACCGTTACAGAAATTGTAGTTAATCGCACAAGGTGGGCGTGCTTTGAGTTCATCACGTCGGGCATCCAATTCAGAGCAGCGATTCTCCTCAAACATTTTGACCTTGGCTTTCACCAAAGACCTCCACTCCGGTCGTCGAGCGGCTGCTTGCTCCCACTCTAAAGGCTCAATGTCGCACTTCTTCATGTGGCGCTTAAGTACATCTTTATACCTGAGGAGTTGTCCGCCATGCTTACGCTTGCTCTTCTCAAGTTCAGAGAAAAGCTGCTCTTTGCCGTTCGCTGGTCTGACATTCGCGATAAGTGTCCACACCAACGGAGTTGTCGCTCCATAAGGTAGGCCTCAATCCCCATGGTATGGGCTCTACGCAGCACTTCCGTGTTTCGAGTGCGATCAGACCAACGGATGTTGAGAATTTTGCGCAGACATTGCAAGTGGAAGCGATCCAGCGTCCGTATGTGACGGCGGTAAACTGTCCATGACTCTGAAGAGTACAATATGTTAGGTAGCACTACCGCCTTATAAATGTCAATTTTGGTAGCCAGCTTTAGGTCATGTGAACCAAAGACCTTGCGATCCAGTTTACCGAAACCGCAGCAGCGGCACCGATCCGACTGTTGATTTCAGCATCAAAGTCACACTGATGTTATCGTGCTCCCCAGATAACGAAATGTATAGATTTGCTTAAGTATGTCATCACCGAGTTTAATGGCAAGTGTCTCTTGACCGTAGATATCTAAAGACATCACTTCCGTCTGTTTAACACTTATCTTTAGACCAAAACTACGGCACGACTCATGAAAGGTAGTCACGAGCTGTTGCAGGCCAGCTGGGGAATCGGTCACAAAACATGGATCATCTGCGTAGACAATCTCTGTAATAAGTGCGTAAGACACTTTCGTACATAATACATAAACACTCACGCCTGTCACCCAGAGGGGTAGGCAGAGACTACGGACTTCCATTTGGCACGATCCTGACATACCTCTTTCGCCTCCTTTACATCCATATATCTACGCATACATGCTCGTCGGTTAAGGGTACTTCTAACGTGACCCATTTTCAAAATATTGCCAATTTGGTCCATAAACTTTTTTCTAGGGCGTCTCTTCCCGACTCTGCCGTTCACATCTGCCATATAAATTTGCTTTGTCACTTCTACATGACCAAACCACCGAAGCATTCCTTTCTTAATCCTGGTCACAACATCATCTTGCATACCACATTTATCTCTTATCACGCAATTTCTCACCCTGTCATTCAGATTCAACCCTAGCATACCCCTTAAAGACCGCATTTCTACAGCATTTATTCTACTTTCGTGCTTCTGTCACACTCAGCTTTCACTACCATACATTAAAGTAGGGACTAACACAGCATTATGAATTACCATACGTGCCTTTTTTGAAACATTCTGGTTCTTCATAATAGGGTGTAGCGCCCCATTCACTTTATTCCCTGCATTTACTCGTCGTTCTATATCCTTATTATATCTACCATCCCTACTAAATACACATCCCAAATACACAAACTCATCCACTTGCTCAATTAACTCTCCTTCTATTCTTATTTCACATACCGTTTTGCTTTCTTCTCTTTCAAAAACCATTACTTTCGTTTTACTTGCGTTCACTTTCATTCCCTTTTCTTTTAATTCCCAGTTCATTAATGTAACCATCATTTGCAACTCAGCCGCCGATGACGCAAATATGACTTGATCATCGGCATACAAAAGGCATTTGACGGTTTTTTTTTTTTTTTTTTTTTTTTTTTTTTTTTTCTGTTCTACTGCTGCTATACATGCAGCACCCTTGGTTACTTTTTTTTTTTACCTGTTCATTTAACCTCTTTTTTTTTTTTTTTTTTTTTTTTTCCTATCTTATTGCTACTTTACAAAGATTACTATAAGCTTGTGTCTTACAAAATTTGTTTATACTATTTCGAATGCTTACAAAGATACATTTACCTGTTTCACTATAAATACTAAATTTTCTTATCAATATTACAAACTTATTTTCGCAAAATATTTTTGTTATTATTTTCCTGTGCTATCAATTATTCGTTTTTTTTTTTTTAGTCTTATCACAAATTTACTTTAAGCTACTTTTGCGTTAAATTCCGTTACAAACAACCTTTTTTTTTGCAGTTATTTACAGTTATTTCTAACTTTATACATATAATAATTACTAAATAAACTTGTTGTTATATTATTATTTTACTTTTTTTTATATATATATATATATATATATATATATATATATATATATACTTACAAAGATAATTATAATATAAAGTTACTATTATACTATCATAGTTACCTTGTACAATTTTAATGCAATTGTCCATTGCTTTAATTTTATATACTTTTAACTTATAAAACTATGCTATTTTGGACCCATTTTCTTTTCCTGCGGTACGAACGACTATTTCTGCATATTTTAGGAAATGGGTCTGACAGTCATCGTTGTTAATAACGTATTTTAGGGTAGTATCATTTATTGCAATTCCCATCTTCTGCTCGCATTCCAATCTTTTCAAAGCGAATCTCGGGCAATCTATTAACAGATGTAAAATTGTTTCGTCTATTTCACTGCTGCATGCACAAGATGGGGACTGCGTTAATTTGTATTTGAATAAATACGCCTTAAAACCTCCATGACCTGTTAACAATTGCGTCTTAACGTTATCTAATTTAATATTTTTAAGTGTACTGTGTGCTTGTCTTATGTCCGGAAAGAATATCTTCGTGACTGCTCCTGTTGTAGCTTCATTGTATCGTTGTTGCCACCTCATGCAGGTAGAGTCCCTGATGAGTCGCTTCGCGAAGGACAGGGGGCACTTATCATAAGCTGCAGCTTGTTTGTTTGACAGTGCTGCCTTCTTTGCAAGTTCATCAGCTCTTTCGTTGCCGGGTATACCAATATGCGCTTTGACCCAGTACAACTCAACGTCACCGTCTTTATTTTTTAATTCTCTTAAGCGTTCTCGTATTTCAACTGCAAGAGGCTGGAGAGATGAGCTGTCAGTTAGGCACTCTAAAGCTGATCGTGAGTCACTTAGTATTATTGCTTTCTTTAATTTACTGATCTTGCACATCATGTTAAGTGCTTTAAGAATCGCGGTAAGTTCAGCCTGATAGACACTGCAGTAACTTTCTAACCTAAATGTTGATTTGAGTATTTCTTTCCCCTCTCTCCACACACTGACAGCGCCACCTACTTTGTCTTCTAACTTACTGCCGTCCGTGTATATTCTCGGCTTAAGGCCGTCGATTGCGTTTTCTTCTTCTTGTGTAACTAACATCTTGAAAGATACACGGTACCTTTCAGCGGGATGGGGTAAACAGAATGGGCTTACTGGTTTTTCTATGGTTCTCCCTGGTAGTTGTGTTAGTGGCTTTCCTCGCTTGATTTCATAGAGTGAAAGGTGTTCCAATGCTCTTAAGTCAAGAGGGATGATTCCTGATAGTAACACGCTAGACGTGAATGAGATTGTCCTGTGGCCCTTGCAGATCTTAACTGCAAACATTCTTGTAATACGTTCTAATCTTTTCCTCATGTATTCTTTTTTCGCTACCGTGGCCCATACACTTGCCGCATAAAGAATAGTTGGCTCCACTACAGCTACATATATTATTTTCACTATATCTGAGTTAAGACCCCAGTTGGCTCGTGCTGTTCTCGAAATGGTTTTATAGATATTTAGTGCTTTTCTGAGAACTTCATCTAAATGTTCTACAAAATTTAGATTTCTGTCAAAAGTAACACCAAGTACTTTCAGACTCGAAGATGGTTTGATAATAACATTATTCATTTTAATTGTAGGAATTTCATAGGATAGCTTTTTTTGTGATTACTATTGCTTGAGTTTTATGTGGTGCGAATTTCAATTTGTATTTTTCCCCCCATGCCACTATTTGTTCTAAAGCCGGGTTTAGTTTTTCTTCTATTGCATTAGCTGAATATCCTTTTGCAATAACAAGTATGTCATCCGCATAAGCCTGTATACGGACATTTAATTTTGAAATTGATTCGAGAAGGGGATCTAAAAGTATGTTCCAGAGGATAGGTCCACAGGTAGACCCTTGTATACAGCCTTTGGTGGTTGATTTTGTGACTTCTGCTCCTGCATACTTTAGTAAAATACTTCTAGATGACAGGTAACTAGTGACTAACCTGAAAATCTCTGGACTAACCCTTTTCTTTTTCATTTCTGTGATTATTTGAGGCCACCAAGCATTATCAAATGCCCCTTCAATGTCGAGAGATACCACTACAACGATCATTTTTTCTTTGATGCCCTGTCTTATCACCGTCATTGTATCATATAAAGCGTCTTCTGTGCTGCGCTGTGGCATGAATCCGTATTGCAAACTGTTGAGTTTATCTTCACTTCCTAACTGCCATAGAAGTCTCCCTACAAATAATTTTTCTAAAATCTTCCCAAATACCGGTAGTAGTCCAATAGGTCGGTATGATTTAGGTATTGAATAATCATCTTTCCCAGGCTTTGGAATGACTTTTATTACAGCCTTTTTCCAGATCTCGGGGAAGTGCCCTAATTCTAGACACTTGTTGAAAATTGCCCTCAGCGTTGACGGTGATGTTTTGTAAGCCTCATAGCAGATGTCTGATGTTATACCATCTTCTCCTGGTGCCTTTTTTGGGGCTTATTCTTTGTAGTACCATTTTTATTTCTTCTTCGGTGAATTTCGGAAAATTAATAGAGTCATATCTTAGATCTTTAATAATTGCATTCGATTCATCACGAACTTTTCCTTGTTCTTCGGTGTCCTTATTTACTTCATCTTCAGGGTAGAATACTTTAGCTAGTAACTTAGCTGAATCATCAGGATTGAGAGTTTTTTCTCCTAAACGCAAAAGTTTGTCTTCGTTTGTTGTTGTGCATTTCCTAATAATTCTGTAAATGCTCTGCCATATTGTCTCTTTTTCCTGCTTTGTACATAGCTCCTTCCAGCTCGCAGTAATTGTAGACATTATGTTACTCACATATTTTTCTTTGGCTGCTGTAAATTCTTGGATAAGGAAGGGTTTACGCCTTGCGTTTGCAAATCTTATTCTTCTTCTTAATCTTATTAAATCTCGTCGTTCAGCTCCTAACTCCTTAGTCCACCAGGGAGTGCAGGTTGTATTAATTTTTTTAGAGATAGGTGGTATTGCCCTTTTACTGGCAATGCTGACTTGTTTAATGTATTTCTCTAAAATGTCTTCCAAATCATTTGTTGTTTTTATCAGATTAACTTTTATTTCTGTAATATTATCATTTTTTAACCCTTCTTTAAAAACATCTCTAAAAATTGACCAATTTGCCTTAGCGGTGTTAAATAGACGTGTAGACTTTCTGGAGGAATTTTTTTGTTTATTTATGATAATTTTTATTTGGAATTGAATTGCTCGATGGTCAGAAAGTGTAACGAAGTCTGGATCTACTCTCCATTTCTCTACCTTGTGTAGTAACGCAGATGTACAAGCGGTTACGTCCACCAGACTGCTATAGAGTTTTCCAGCTCGATACTGATAGAATGTAGGGTCATTTCCTTGGTTTAGTATGTTCATGTCCATCTCAGCTATCATTTCCGATAAGTGTAATCCCCTCCTGTCTTCCTCTCTGCTACCCCACCAAGGACTCTTTGCATTAAAGTCCCCTGCCAAGATGATGTCCTCGGTGTCCATGTTCTGTGCAATTTTCACAATGTTTCTGATATCTTCATCTAGGTCCCCATTTTTTTCCAAGTACACATTAATTACTCCTAAACTACGGTTTCCTACTTTAATTATAAAGCCTACTATATTTTCACTTATGTATTCTGGATTTTCTATAATTAAGTACGTGGGATCAACAACGATGACTGCCGATTTAACCGGTTTATCAATTATGTTAGTCAATTTTTGTATAACGCGGCGATTACAAGTAACATGCCCTTTTGAACCGATATATGGTTCTTGCAGTAAGAGAAGTGTAATTCTTTGGTTGACGGCCATTTGTAAAGATTCTTTATATGCCGCCATTCCTCGCCCAAGATTAATTTGCACGATTTTTACAGTTTGCGTGTCTTCTGGCATTTTGTTTATAATGTTTGTGCTGATCTGTGTCTGTTCGATGTCATTTGTCTGATCTACTTTAGCAGTATGCAACTAAGGATCTCGCTATTCGGTCCCATTTTTGCCATACTAAGCATTCAGCACTGTATGCTGCGTGACTATGGTCCCCCTTGACTTTATTTTTAATGCAGTTCGCACATGAAGGTGCTCCATTATTTCGTGGACATTGCCTGCTGTCATGTTCGCCTGCGCAATAACCACAGGTTGATTTATCAGCTGCACACTCGCTTGCTCTATGTCCGAAGCCCATGCATCGATAGCACTGGACTATAGGTGACTGATCTATAGCTGGGACTATTTGGTAGCCAACATGCACCTTTTGGTCTTTAATGGCCTTCCAGACGCAAGGGCTTACTTCGATAACTATGTTATTAACTGCTTCTGTACGACCTTTTATTCGTCTTAGGACCTTAATCTTAATATCATCTTTTGCTATATCTTTGAATAGCTTCACGTTCTGCTTTACGAGTGCTTCCTCTATTTTCTTATTATTGAGATCATTCGATATTCCTATTAACTTTATAAGTGGGTTTTTAGTAGATGATTTTGACACTGTGAGCTTTTTTATCAGAATTTTTGATCGCACTATGTAACTTACTACGATCCTCTTCTGTATTGCACGTAATGACCACCTTTTGATTTCTGACTCTTCTGACATTATTTACTCCTACTCCTAGTTGCACCACGTCAATATTATCTTTAATGGTACTGACAACATCTTCACTTGTGTGCCTAGGGTCGGAGGATTCGATAAGAAGAGCAAATCGAGGTTTGATGAGAGCTTCGGCATACGATCTTGTTGGACCGACAATTTGCTGCTCTTTGGTCGCATAATTATATTTTTTTTGGTCGTTGTCCTTAAGTGGATTGCAGTTGCATATTTGTAGGTTGTCAAGTTTTTCTCTAATCTCTGCTACTGCTAGCTCGGTACCTAGGCTAGAGTTATTTTGAAATGCCCACTGACTTGTTCCATGTTCCTTTAGTTCCTTTATTTCCTCCGTTAATTTTCCTATCTTTTTGCGAGATAGGCTCTATGTCGATTGTGAATTTGTCTGTGGATATCTCCTGCCGGGTTGTGTTCTGAATTTGTGCTTTTAATTCCTGCACAATATTCTTCATGTCACATATATCACTATCAATGGAGTCTACTCGAGGGTTTTTAAGTGACTCAATGGCCTGAGTGATACATTTCACATCAATTTTCTGGTCTTCCAAATTATTTTTGAGGTGTTCTACTTCGAGACCTAAAGATTTTATGTACTCGAACGTATCCCTGTTTTGGTTCACTATCATCGCAACATCTTCTACAGGAAATATTTGCCGGTCCTCAGAGGGACAGTTAGAAGAGTCTTTTATCGCTCTGATAAGATTTTCATTTATTTCCTGCCGTATCTGATAAATTGTCTTAATAGGATCATCCATCTCATAATTAAGCCATCCCCTTATAGCTTCTGCGGATTTTTGCGTGTCTTTTAAAAGTTCTTGGATATCTTTGAGCTTTTGCATACAGGAGGATTGAATTTCTGCAAGTTGTTTGGTGTGTGCTCTCTCAACTCCAACCAGCTCTTTTGCTGCTCGGGTGCGTTCTTGCTCTAATGCAAGCCGATGTCGGGAGCGTGAGTCTGAGAGTGAGAGCACTGTTTCGTATAGCCCTTGAAGGCAATCATGTACCTCCTGCTTGAACTCCCGCTTCATGTTCCCCGCTTTCTCCAGTGCCTCTTTCCCTGAGAGCAAAAATTCGTTAGCCCGCTGTGTTGCAAGATCCATGGAGATGCCAGCGCGCTTATATGAGGGGGGTAAAATACTAGATCTCTTACTGTTATCACTGATGATGCTGTCAACATCTGACCATTCATCGTCAGTGCGTTGTACACGCCTGCAAATTCCTAGCAATTCCAATTCTGCCTCCATGTCTCTTGCAACAGAGCTGTTCTGTTCCGAGGCACTGTCATGTTCCTGTGGATCGTTTGAGGATACGTTCTCTTGCTCTATTGGTTCCTTTGTAATGGCTATAGTATGCGAGTCTGGTGGATTACTACATCCAGGTTCTTCCAACATAGCCCTTTGAGAGTCTTCCATATCCTCAGTTGGTTTTTGCGTAGAGGCTGCGTTCTGTAAAAGCACTTTTTTCCGCAAAGTCGGTGCAGATACCGGGCTTATACCTCTACCAGATCTAGAGGATTTGGATTTTGCGACTTGAGCACACGTCTTGCCCGACTTAGACGACATTTTTTTTTTTTTTTTTATTTATCGTATTATATTATATGAAGATAGAAGATATTAGGCTATTGCGTATGTCGAAAACCGCATCGAAATCCGCTCAAAGCTTCCGGAGATACGTCAATTTAAAAATTTCCAATACGGCGACCAAAATGGCGACCAAAATTTAAATTATTGATAACTTGCTCAGTTTTCGTCGCAGAGTCGCGCGGTTTGGGTTGCCACACAAAGCACTCCTTCGCCCTTTTATTTTTACCTTAAAGGAGGCTTTACTTCGCGATTTTATATTAAGCGTATTTTCACGCTTAAAGGAAAGTCTATAACAAGGTATTAATCCATTGGCATTTGACGGTTAACTCGCCCATTCTTAACCCAGATTCTTCATCTTTCAAAGTTTGCAAACACCTGTCCATAAATAGGTTGAACAGCCAAGGGGAAGCTACACAGCCCTGTCTGACACCTTTTTGGACGCCATTTTCATTATTTTTTCTGTGACGTCGACCGCGGATTTGTGATGCGGATTTAAATAACATCACGTTAGCAGATCCCGAATTTAACATCTGTCGCCCGGTCGACCTTCTGTTAGGAGCAGATGTTTATTCTTTGATTTTATTGGAGGGAATTTGTAGGTTGAATGATAATATACCGATAGCTCAGAATACTCGTTTAGCCTGGATTCTAACCGATAATGTCAAAACTTTACAATGTAACGTGATCATTAACGACTTAAAGGAGATCCAAAAATTCTGGGTGGTGGAGGATATCAGTGAAGAATCTACCCTATCATTAGAGGATCAACAATGCATCGACTATTACAAGTCTACTACTATCAGGCGCGAAGACGGTCGATACGAAGTACGTTTGCCCCTCACCCCAGACTTTACGGATAAACTGGAAGAATCAAAATCAAAAGCTATCGCTCAATTTAAATCGTTAGAAAACACATTCAAAAAACATGAAAACACTAAAAATCAATATCAATTATTTATAAACGAATACCGCGCCCTCGGACACATGATTCCAGCTACCGATAAACCGACTCAGGGACGTCGGCAGTGTGTATTAACTCATCATTGTGTGCGTGCTGACGACACTATCATGAATTCTAAATTTAGAGTGGTATTTATTGCTTCGTGTCAAAAATTATGGGGGAATAGCTTGAACGACGTCATGAGATGTGGTCCTAATCTCCAACTGGATCTGCAGTCTCTCATAATCAAGTGGAGACAATATCAGTTTGCGTTCACAGCCGACATTGAAAAAATGTTCAGGCAGATTTGGATCCACCCCGATGATCAGCAGTTATTAAGAATCGTTTGGCGTGACTCTCACTCAGAACCCATCAAAGACTATCAACTTACCACGGTCACATACGGAACGAAAGCAGCGCCGTTCCTAGCGATGATGACTCTTAAACAACTTGCATGTGATGAACAACCTATCAAAACAGTCAGGCGATCGACATATTAGACAACTGTTTTTACATGGATGACCTGGTCCATGGGTGTCACGATATAAGAACCGCACGTCAATTACAACAAGACCATATCAATTTATTAAAATCAGCTGGATTTCATTTGAGGAAATGGAGATCAAACTCCGATGACTTGATCAGAGAGGAAGAGTCAGCTCTATCAAAGGACGACAACTTTAATTTCAAGCAATCAGCGCAAACGAAAACCCTTGGGTTAAGATGGAATCCACAAGAGGATGTTTTTATGTTTCAATCAAATTTAGAACCGAAGGAAGTTTCCAACAAGGTCACAAAGAGAAACTTTTTATCAGACATATCAAAACTTTTTGACCCGCTCGGTTGGCTATCACCACTATCAACTAAGTTAAAAATTATTTTTCAACGAATGTGGACTGCAGATAATACTAACTGGGATGATCCTATACCGAATGAAGTATGGGTAGAGTGGAAGAAGGTCAGAGAGGACATGCACAATATTCAAAACCTACAGTTACCCCGATAGCAGATCCATGAGTGCGACAGTATCGAATTACATTGGTTCAGTGACTCGTCTGTCAGAGCTTATGCATGTGTGATCTATTGTCGTATCAACAAAGGCAATAAATCATCTGTAGTGTTGGTGGCCGGCAGAGCCAGGCTTGTACTAACCAGCAAGACAATCTCGTTACCGCGGTTGGAACTGAGCGGAGCACTACTCCTCTCAAAGCTAATGGGTAAAGTCGCAGAGTGCCTTAATGGGTACAATATCAAAATATATGGTTGAACTGACTCCATGGTAGTACTGGGGTGGCTCAACGGAGAACCATACAGATGGAAAACGTTTGTGGCAAATAGAGTTCGTACAATAACCGAAAATATGCCACCTGACTGCTGGAGGTACGGTAAGTCGGAAGAAAACCCAGCCGACGTGCCAGTCGTGGTCTAACTGCATCACAACTCAAAGCACAGACCTTGTGGTGGCTGGGCCCGACTTGGCTATCAACATATAATGATCAAGGGCTTAGACAACAAACGAAGAATTAAAATTATCAAAAACAATTTTAGTAGCACAACACACAGTTTTTATCATTCATAAAATCCTATCAAAATATAGCACAATTAACAAAGCGGTAAGAATAGTTGCATGGATTCGGAGATTTTTAACTATCAAAAAAGGACAAAATATAAAATATCTAATGGTACGAGAGTTGAGAGAAGCTAAGTTATTAATTATCAAAAATATACAACAAACGGGATTTGAAAGAGAGTTATCAGATTTAAAGCAAGAAATAAAATAAATCGAAAAAGCAACATTTGTGAACTAAATCCGTATATTGAACAAGATGAAGTATTGAGAGACGGTGAGAGGTTGCGAAATGCCAATCTGAACCCAGACATGAAAAATCCTATCATTATACCCGGTAACAGTCGCCTTGCTGAGCTTCTTATAGACCAGCGCATGAAACGACATACCATGGTGGTGCTCGGCTAACATCAGCCAACCTGAGACAAAAATACTGGATCGTCGGTGGCAACAGATCTACAAAGAAGAGATTACGTCACTGTATCAAATGTAGAAGGTACGAACCAACCAAACACCATCAAATTATGGGTGACCTTCCTGCAGCTAGAGCAAACCCTTCACGCCCCTTCCATCATGTCGCTGTAGAAGACTACACGGACCACGTGTTCATCAAAGCTAACTCAGGCCGTGGGATCAAAACTACGAAAGATTATATCGCTATGTTCACGTGTATGGCCACAAATGCTGTACATTTGGAGTTGGTGTCTGACCTGACGAGTACTGCATTCTTAGCAGCGTTACGGAGAATGACAGCTCGCCGTGGCAAACCTAACCACATTTATAGCGATAATGGCAAGACCTTCATAGGAGCCAACAAGGTATTACAGCAGGAATAAGAAGAGCTCCTCAAAACATTTGGTGATGAGTTCCTCTCAGAAGTGTCCGAGATGGGTATAAATTGGCACTTGAATGCACCTTCGTGGCCATCAGCCAATGGTCTTTGTGAAGGAGCCGTGAAAAGCCTCAAGTATCATCTAAGGAGGGTGGTTGGTGATAAAAACTCACCTACGAGGAGTACAGTACGCTGCTAGCACAATTAGAAGCTTGCTTAAATTCGAGACCACTATGTCCATTGACGGAGGACGCTGATGATTTAAATTATTTAACCCCTTCACATTTTCTATCAAGCGGTCCGATTCTATCAATTTATGAGACGGAACGAGATCTTAGGACTAGGTGGCATTTAACACAAAAAATATTCCAAGACATTTGGAAAAGGTGGCAACAAGAATATTTAACACATCTATCAGCCTGGAGCAAGTGGCGCCAACCTCAAGAAAATATAAAATCAAATGACATCGTACTCATCAATGATGGTAACCTTCCTCCAGGCAGATGGGCCCTCGGTAGGGTGGTCGAAATGCACCCTGGTAATGAAGGCTACGTGCGTGTTGTGACGTTAAAAATAAAAAAATGGTTATATGAAAAGACCTGTTATCAAACTATCAATACTCCCTATCATATCCGAAGAAACACAAGATTAAGAAAAGAAAAAAAACCAACGAAGAGTAAGATAAAACAAAGGAATAGAAGATA